GATTCCCAGAGACATCTGACCCACTAAAACACAAAGTACTGCTCAGCAAACACTGCAAAACTCCCCAGTGTGTTCTTCCACTGTTGGAGTGAGTGAAAGTGGTCCCACTGGTTGGGGCTGGACTCTTTTTAGAAGTTGAAATTGTGACAGTTTTCCAGAATGTAAAGATCTGAACCATGTGCTGGGTGGGATCAATAGGGTCAGGGAATTTTTCTCCCTCCGGAGAGTTGTTGAGAGGGGGTGTGTGAGAGAGAAACAGGGGCTCAGTCCCTCCTATTTCCAGGTCCTTTAGGCTGGCCTGGCTTTCTGCATGGGTCTAGGCCCAGGCCGTCCCCTGTGGTTAATTCTGGCTGCGATTTACCTCTTCTGCAGATACATCTCAGCTTCCATCCCAGCCCACAGCATGGGACGGTGAAAAAAGAGCCGAGGCCAGGAGTCACGGCAGCCCCGAGTCCTTCTGTGGACTTGGAGGAGAGATCATTTCTGTCCTTACTGTGACAGGACGGCAAATGCTTTCAGGCCCCCTCTTGGCTTACTTCTGCCCATCCTTGGGGGCTTACACCTCACCCAGCCACTCAGCAAAAGGCACTCTAGAGGTGAGGTATCGATTCAGTTCTCAGTTGCCCTGCCCTGGTCTCCACTGCTCGTGTGGGTTCTGAAACTTTGGAAGTAATTAAGGTTTGCCGGTCAATCATTGCAGTTTACTTAATTGCTGACTAATAATTAAAACCTCACAGAATGTGGGGAAATCTGAGCCCTGGGTGACGGATCCCCGTGAGCCTCCTCCTCCTCCTCCTCCGCCTTCTCCTTCTCCTCCTGGAACTTACCCGACTCTGTTAGAGCTTTCACCCTGAGCTGCGTGGAGGCTCACTATCTGTGCTATACCATTTTTTTGCCTTCTGGCCTGAGCAAGTCCCTGTAGCCAAGTGCACCCCACAGGCAAGGCCCTGAGAGAAACAGCCCAGGCTGGATGATGAAGAAGCAAGGTTGCCCCTAGATCCAGGTGTGAGGGCCTCACCAGACAAGAGCTTGGTCCCACCCATCTGTGAATGACCGAGAGTGGGGAGTTCCGGCCCCACTGCCCACCCACCTCTGCCTTCTGCCAGATCCGGATCCGAGCCACAGTTCCAGGAAGTTTGCTATGTGCCTGGCAAGGTGCTAAGGATGTTGGTCCTTAAACCTCGCTACAGCCCGACCAGGTGAGACCATTCCTTTCCCCATTTAGCAGAAAGGAAAACTTCTGCAAGATGAGGTGGCCTGTTCAAGGTCAACCTTTCTGGGAAGAGGCTGTCCTGGCTGTTCTGGAACTCACTATGTAGACCAGGTTGTCCTGGAACTCACAGAGACCCACCTGCCTCTGCTTCTTGGTACTAGGATAAAAGTTGTGCTCCACAGTGACAGGCCTAAGAATTGCGTTCTTGACACCAAAATGAGTCAGTTTCTCCCCAGTGTCACATCTTGAGGCTAGCAGCTACTCAGTCTTGTCATTCTTGGGAGGCCTGTCCACCTGTCTGATGCCAAGCAGGTAGACGAATCTACTCACATCACATCCCGGCGTCCCCTGGGCCTTCTGTTCTCATGCGTACATTGCCTCTTTTCCTGGAAAATTGCTTGGTCACCTTCCTGTCACACAATGGGAGTTACGTGTGCGTCTGCAGACTGGCACACTTTGATGAGATGTGCATGTTCTGAGGCACATTATCGTAATGGAAAGAATGGGGGTTCGGAATCCAAACAGATATGATGAATCAGATTAAATACTGTGAAGTCATATGCCCAGCATGGTACCTCACGTATGGCAAACATGTAGTCACTGGCATTACTGGCATTTCTGGGTGCATGTTCCTATATGTCAAATATTTTTATTGTTGATCCTTAACTGCAAGACTGAATGGGCAGGATACTCTCTGTAGGTACACGCACACGTGCGAGCGCACACACATACACACACACACACACACACTCCATATACACATACAACTAGGTAAAGTTTCTATAGCCTCTAGGGTCTCGGTGGCCAGTCCTTATATGCATGTAAGTCCTAGGGTTTCTGTTTCTTATATCTTTCTTCCCAAGAGGGCAGCCAGATCCCCCCACACACACAGAGAGAGAGAGAGAGAGAGAGAGAGAGAGAGAGAGAGAGAGAGAGAGAGAGAGAGAGAGAGAGAGAATGCACTGTGAAAACACAAGGTGGCGCACCCTAGATGGCCACCAGGCGACACTGCTGAGGCACCAAGGAGTTCTAGGGTGTAGCCTCTTCGGGACTGTCCCAGCCAGATGCTGAACAGATCCAGACATCCCCATTAGTTCTAGTGTGTCCTGACCTCCTCACCTCCCCACCCTGGGGGCTGCAGATAATTCTTGGCCTCTGTCGTCTCCAGCTGGTTGTGCTCCTGCACCTTGGCATCCTACCTTCTCTGCGACACACAGGGCTGGGTTGAGCCATTTCAAGGACCTCGATGCCTCTGGTTTTTTTGGACTCTGCCCTACTCTACTCTGTTAATATGGAAACATTTAGGGGCTGGAGTGGAGGGATTTGAGGAGATGGGGCAAGAGGGCACCATGACTGGCACATCAAGAGCTGATACGTGGTTCTCTGTCACTACCACAGTTCTGGGTTCTCGTTCCCATCATGCCCTGCTGTTCACCGAGGCCCCGAGAATTAGGAATGAAGTTGACTGACTACGGCTTCAACATTTTTCCTTAAAGAGAGAGGACTTTCTTTTTAATGTCACAGCATCCAACCACTACACACACACACACACACACACACTTTAAAATGATAATTGCACTGATTAACTCTTTAGATATCATTAAATGCTAGGGTATACAGTCACTGTGCGTGACACTGCTGACACAGGCATGCCCTGTCTTTTATCAAAAGAAGTGAGTTTCTTTCAGACCCTCACTCTACCCTGTGCTACCTGTTAGTTGTGCGGGCCTCAAGTAATTTATTTGATCTCTCAAAGTGTCAGCGTTCTCATCTGTAAAATGGGACGATAGTATAGATCTCCCAGAAATGTTGTAAGCATTCAACTGGATGGTGTGTGCAAAGGTCTGGGCACGCCCAGAAGTCCCCGCATAACTTTCAGTCACCTTCTGTCAAAACCGTAGAAAGCATCGCCCTCCCGGTAAACCCATTCCTTGGCATTCTGTTCTAGGTTCCCACATAGATACTTGAGGATTAAATGTTAAAATATATAGGTGCAAACTCACTGACCCTGCGTCCCATGCCAAGACACCAGTTAAAGCCCTGGAGCAGCTCACAAGGTGACACTTGCCAGGACAAACAGGCACTGGCAGGCAGAGAAATGACGCCAGGGCTATGGAGAGAGCGCGGACCATTGACATGGAGGCCTGCTATTTGTCCTTGTTCCTTGGCACTATCATGGAGTGCTGTGTACATGGGGCTGGCCGTGAGAAGCTGGGGGATGGGGGCAAGACACCAAGGGAGGGACACAGAGATGGCCGGAGCCAGGTTTGGAGCTGGTCCTACGAGAAGGTGCCCCAGAGGCTCTGGGGAGAGCCGTACAGCATGGCCCTGCCACCCCACCCAGCCTCTCTTGGCCAGGCATCCAGTGACAGCCAGCCAGCCTGAGCTCCATCTTGAGAAAAAAAATACCTCTTATGGGATTCGGAAATGTTCTCTTTGGCAGCCAAAAGGAGCTTGCTCTCCCGCTGAGTCTGTGGGTGGAGAGAGGCTGGGGCTGGGAGGGGGGCTGAGGTTGGCTTGCCCAGAAGGCCTGAAGGGTTGAGGGAGGGAGGAGAGGGCTTGTCCCACTGTCATCTTTCTGTCACTGACTGCGGAAGATTCCCTTTTGAGGAAGATTGGGAAAGCTGGGTTCTGTTCAGTGGCTGTGACTTAGATGCTAATTTGAAAGGTAAACCGTGGGGCAGGGCCTAGCACAGTGCCTGGTACCAAGTTCTGTTGGTGTCTTTGCTGTTTCATTTTTATTCATTTTGGGGTTTGTTTGGGTTTTGTGTTGTCTTTCTTTTTTGAAATAGGACTTCACTATGTAGCCTTAGCTGACCTAGAAATTACTATGTAGACCAGGCTAGCCTCAAACTCAGAGATGTCTACCAGTCTCTGCCTCATAAGTGCTGGGATCAAAGTTTCGTGCCATCACACCTAGTCCCAAGTGGGTATTTGATAAAGTTTCTTTTTTTGCTAAGTCAATAGAAGGGAGAGGAAGGTTCTTTGGGTTGCATCATTTGGATGCTATTTCCATCCTAGATAGGAGAAAGGATGAAGTTTTGTTTATGGGCAGAGGCTCTCATCGGTCCAGGCTAACGTCATCCTGCCCGGAAACCAAGGAAGAGCAAAGTGGTCCAGATTCTGGCCGCACCCATGCTTCTTCCACAGCTTGGAATCCAACTCTTGAATAGGATATGAAGTGTCCAGAAAATGACTGTTCGTCTCCAGCTCCCAGCAGCCACCTCACCTTTAGGAGGCGTTGCCTCCTGGACCCCTACAGACCCACTCCACACGCTTAGAATAATGGCCAGTGACATGCTGATGAAGTGAAACCGGCCACGTAGGAATATTTATACCATGGAAACAGCCAAGCACTGCCCATCAGAGTGTCCCCTCTTCTAAGGGCCTTTAGTACATACCAGCAGAGTGCTACAAAGGAGGTTTCAGGGGAGTGTTCCATTTCACTCCACCTCGGGAAACCTTGCCTGTGACCTCTGCCTCTGCTGTGAGAAGAGCTTCCCAAAACCAAAGTCAGAGGTAGTGACGGTCACTCAGAGAGAGGGTGGGGGAGTGCAGTGGTCTGTCTGCAGCCCTTTTTGGGGTTGGGACTTCAGTCAGCCTGGGGCATATATGGAGGCCTTTAGCTGTATCTGCTCCGCTGGTCATCTTTGGGGAACAGAAGAAGCAGGTGACTGACCCCAGGGCCTAGCTTCGGGAAGATATGATCTGGCTCCTCTTCTCTGGCCCCCAGTTCCCTTCAGGAAGTCCCTCCTCATTCACCAGCTCCTTTTGCTCTCCTTGCCAGATCCGGAGTCACAGAGAAAGAGGACAGTACAGAATGTTCTGGATCTTCGACAGAACCTGGAAGAAACCATGTCCAGCCTTCGAGGCTCCCAGGTGACGCACAGGTAAAGCTTGAGCTGCCCTTAGTGACGTCTTCTCCCTGGGTCTGGAGGGCAAGGCCTCAGGGTCACTCCACATCGCCACATAAGCATCCCAGGTTGACCAGATGGCCTTGGCCCCAGTGACCACAGATGTTTGGATCCCCACATTGTCAGTGCTGTGGGGAAAGAGGAGTCCGACACCTCAGCAGAAGCCCCGTGCAGTCTTGCCTCTGCTTATGCCTGAGCGTGGGATTTCACTCTTGCAATTCATTGTGAAAATGACTGGGAAGTCCAGGTGTGTGGTCTGTCATACCTGTTCTCTCCTTGGGCCTTAGTCTCCTTATCTGTCAAGAGGGCTTTGCTTACTAAACACACTCCCACTTCCCAGGTCCCATGCTTCTGGGATGCTAAAACCCAGATCCTCCCAACACCTAGGCCCTTCAGTGCCTTTGGCTACTTCCATCACTCCTGAAGGAGGGCCAAGTACCTGGCAGAGTCTACATACCATCACCCACAAAATCAGCCCCAAGCTTCTTGTCCCCCAGCCCTTACAGAAGCTTCCAAGCCTGTAGGGTACACACCTCTCCCACAGCCCTTTCCCCTAGAGCAACATTCTAGCCCCAGCCCCTGTGAGTCAGAATTTCCCATTCGGTTCCTCTGGGCTTCCCTGAGCTGCTCAGATGAGCTCATACTGTCAGCCCTAAGGGGGACAGAGGGCCCAGCTAAGTTCTGAGGAGGGAGGTGACTAGGCAGCCAAGATTAGGAAATCATGAGGCATGGACTTGGAGGCCTGGGTATTAGGGGCCGAAGCCTCCTCAGTTGAACTGGAGGTAGGTTCCCCTCTGTGCTGGAAAACTAACGGCAACGCTGGGACATAGAGTTAATGGGGAAAGGACTTTTGATAGCTCTGGGCATGGTCTGTCAGAGGAGCATCAAGACCTGCTTGTCAGGCATTTCGGTCTAGGCGGGAGTCCCATGACTGCAGCTGATCCCATGACTGCAGCTGATCCCATGACTGCAGCTGATCCCATGACTGCAGCTGATCCTCGTCTTAGCGGCTTTCATCCATCAGCCCTGGGTCCTCTTGTAGAGACTTTTCTCCTCTTACTTCCTGCTGCCTCCCACATCCCCATTCATATCCCTGCCTTGAAAAGCCAGGCTTTCATTCCCAGACATCTAAGCATCTCCCAGATGACTAAACAGGAGGTAATCAAGGGAGTCTGGGGAAAAGTGGTCAATGTGGCTTCAGGAGACCCAGAACAGTCTCTGTCCCATTCCAAAGGCCCTAAGCAGGGACCCAGGTGGAGCGGGGCTCCCACTCAGCTGGATGACCCAGCAGTTTTGCCACCTATAGATTAAATCTTCAACATCTCTCCTCCCCACCACCCCTTGTCCAGGGAAGTTTCTGGAACATCTCTCAGGGCCAAGTCACCCGCCAGAATCTTGCCAAAGAAGTCAAGAATTGCTGAGTTGCTTAAGAGCCACACCCCAAATGACTCACCCACAGAAGCAGGGCAGAGGCGGCGCTCTAGGCTTCTGATACCCTTTGCCTGCCCTGAGGCTCCAGGGAAGTAGGGAAGATTCCGCTTGGATGGGGAAGGGTAGCCTAAAGCCTTCCCTTAACGCTGTGGTTGAAACAAGTGCCCTGGGGTCTCTGGCACCTCTCTCCTTTCATGGAAAAGAAAGTACCAGCAAGAGCCTGTGTTTCTGTTTACCACAGACTAGGGGTCACTTCCCTTTCTCTTAGCCTTTGGTTTGGTTTATCTTAGTTCTGGTCCAGACACCAGAGTCCTGACTTTTTTTATGGCTCTGTTGCTTTTTAACATGAGTGATAATATAGTCATCAATCTAGGAAGACCTGGGAGTAGATGCACCTGTTGGACCCACAGGCTTCTGGGGACAGCTGTGTGTCCATACAGCGTGGGGGTACCAACCTACAGAAAAAACATAGTTTTTCCCCCGATGACCTCAGGGTGCAGGGGGGGGGCATCTGCCAAGGTTGCTGTCACCCTTGAATCCACAGGGTGACTTAGACTCAGTTCCTTTTTGGAAACTAGCTTCCTCTATTTCTGTAGGTATGCTTCCTTCAATGAGGGGAGTCTGGGGTAGGGACTGTGGCTGGAGAGGAAGCAAAACTGACCTCCCCAGGGAGGCCGGCCTAGAGCTGGGCACCGGCTGGAGGCCAGGAGATCAGCTCTGAGCTAGAAACCTTTTCCACTGAGATCTAGAGATGGCTTTTGATGCTTTAAAAAAAATAGAGCCTCAAAATAGGGGAAGAGGCATTTTATGTTGAGAGAGTAACACAGAAGGTTAGACCAGAGACCCCGCTTCCTCATGTGCTTGCTACCGAGGTGGACGCCAACTGCCCACACCAGATGCTGCCTTGGATACCTCCATGCTCTCCCCATGGTCTGCTGCTGCAGCATATCCACCCTCTCCTCTCCTCCTCCTCCTCCTCCTCCTCCTCCTCCTCCTCCTCCTCTTCCTCCTCCTCCGTCATCACTGCCAATCATCATTTCATGGGTAGCTCATTCTTATTAAGCACTTATTGCATGAGGCCTTGACCCTCCTCTGTGGTGAGATGATTCCTGCTGCAGTCAGCACAGCCATCCCGGGTCTGTGAAGTGCGAGTCTATGGATGGGGTGAGCATTGAGTCTGAGTCACACCATGACCATGGCTTTTCCCCCAAGAGATGGTGTCGAGTTCCACAGTCACTAGAAGCTGATGCAGAAGTACAAAGGATGCTAGCTAGGACCGATGGGCCCAGAGGGAAAGATAGAGTAGGCCTCCTGGGATATTGTACTCCTTGGAGTACTCGAGGCCACTGATTGTGCTGCTGTTTTTCAGGACCACTGACCCCTCTAATTTTTCTGGGGAACAGAAAGGACATTTTCTCAGACTCAATAGAGACCAAATGGGTTTTCCTTTTTCTAAGCACTTTATAAATAATAATAATAATAAATCAATGTCTACCTCCCATCCCAACCCTGAAGTGGCTGTGAAAGGGATGTGGTCACAGATCAAAGATTCTTCTGCTTTGTGTACCTCTTGTTTAGCCATGGCTTGTCTCAGATGACGCAGCTTCAGTAGCCTACGTAGCTCATGCCATTGATTTAACCCTGTCTGACTTTAGTCAAACCACATGATAGTGAAGGGTCAAAAGTAATTTGGAGTGACGCCATTGCTGGACTGCATGAACTTATCAATCCTAGCCTGAACCAAAGCCCTGATAACCATTCTCACCAGATCTCAGACATATTTCCTCTCTGACCCTGTATGAGGGAAGGCCCCAGGGTTTCTAGCCTCAGATCTTCTGGTAGTAGCTTGCCTGTGGCTTCCTTGTCCTGACCCAGTGGCCTGAAGCCTTTGGGCCCCTGGATGGTGTTGTACGTTCACCGGGCCCTCTCCTTTACCAGTGAAGGCCATGTCTATTCCCTGAGGAGGCCCTGCTTCCTCCCCTGATGCCCAGGCCTATAGCCAGAACCAATCTCCCTGGGGCCTGCTCCATATCTCAGGTTCCCCAAGCTTGCCTCATACCTTCCACATCTGATTTTAGGTTTTCATAGATCTGGTACTACCCAGGAATCAGCTGAGCCTTTGCTCACTGACTGACAGAGGTGACGGCCATACCCTCAACAGTGAATAGTCGAGGCCTTCTGAGCTCTGGTCATCAGTAGCCTCCACTCTTCCTGACCCACTAGGCCTCCCTGGCTCTTTCTGGTTGGGTGAACATCTTCCACATGCCAGGCCCAGTCAGGTCTGTATGGCTGCAGCCCTCCCAACTCTACAAACGTTACATAGAGTAGGCATTATCCCATCTCACTGACAAGGAAGCAGTGGACCAGCAAGATTAGTTTATTTCTTTGGGCCATTTGGACCATCAAAAAACATCACACACACACACACACACACACACACACACGCGCGCACACACACACACACACACACACACACACAACACAGTATTAAACACTAGCCATACTCACAGCATAGGCTCTTAGGAGTGTATGGGAGTTCTGTCTTGGCTACATAGGCCCATTGTCCCTCGGACAGTCTGAGATACCCTATAACCAAGGAACATACACTTAGCAGCCCCCACAGAGGGGCATCCCAATGAGGGGACAGGGCACAGAGCGGCTGGGCTGAGGACTAAATGCATGCCATCTGCTTTCTCCCCAGCTCCCTGGAGATGACTTGTTATGACAGCGATGATGCCAACCCTCGAAGTGTATCCAGCCTCTCCAACCGCTCCTCTCCTCTCTCCTGGCGCTATGGCCAGTCCAGTCCCCGGCTGCAGGCTGGCGATGCACCCTCTGTTGGGGGGAGCTGCCGCTCCGAGGGTCCACCAGCCTGGTACATGCACGGGGAACGGGCACACTACTCCCACACGATGCCTATGCGGAGCCCTAGCAAGCTCAGCCACATCTCCCGCCTGGAGTTGGTGGAGTCCCTGGACTCTGATGAGGTGGATCTCAAGTCCGGCTACATGAGTGACAGTGACCTCATGGGCAAGACGATGACGGAGGATGACGACATCACAACAGGGTAAGCACAGGGGCCCTTGGACAGCTGGTGAGGGAGGCCTGGGAGAGCAGCAGAAAGAATGGTGGAAAGGAATGCCTTAAAAGCAGAGTGGAACTCAGCTTGCGTTTGCTGTGCTGTGACAAAAGCGGTCTGCAGAGGGCGATGGTGCAAACTGTGACTGCATCTGCAATCAGATGTGGCTTATTCTAGAGGGTATGGTGGGCACAGCTGACAACAGAGGAGCTCATTGATCCGTAAAGGTATGCCCTTATTCTCCTCCCTGAGCCTGTCCTCCAAAAAGTCTGGACCAACTCTTTTGGAGGCCCAGCTCTTCTGCAAACGGGGTAGACTGCAGTTGCCTTAAAAAGAGGCTGAGAATGTCACCTCCCTCCTCCCGCTAAGAGAAAGCAACTTTTGAATGAAAGTCCAGACCAGACAGAGTGGAGGTGTGTCTCTACTCCCTCTGCCTGGGTTCCCTGGCCTCCTCACCTCAGCCCGTGGTTTATATCCTTGGGTTTCTGCCTCTGCAAGTCTGCTACCCATAATGCCACATCCTACTCCCTTCCCCAGTCTAGTAAACCTTCTTTCCTGCTCTGGGACAACCCCCCTCCCCGGACCCTCAGTTTATCTTTTCTGCCATAAAAAGCAGGGTAGACTTGGGGAGACAACTTGGACAGACATGGCTGTCTTGGAAGTGAAAAGAGACCAGGAGGAATTTGAACTGATGGGGTTCCGGGCATTCTGACCAACTTTTTCAAGCCCTGAGGCCAGAGAGCTGCATGGTTCTGGAAACTTCTCTGGGGTGTCTCTCAGCAGACCGCCACTTCCATTTTCCCTTCATGGTTGTCTGGGGTCTCCACTCCTAAAATACCCCCACACAGCAGCAGCAGCCCTTTCCCTGTCTCTCGGGCCCCTAAAATCACGCTGCCAGAGTTTGCCGCCCCTAACAAAACCCTGCAGCTCCAAGGGCATAGCCTCTTGGAAAAGGCTGAGCTGAGTTCCAGGCCATCCACCACTCCCAGCCCGCAGCCCACCCATGGGGATAAACTTGGCAGGTCTGACCAGGGTCTGTCCAGCTGATGAGGCTGCTCTTGAGCAAAACAACTGACGCATGAATGGCTTGTTTACTGCCTGGCAGATCCCAGGGGCAGCCCGACCTCATGCTCAGATCCGCCAGCCTGGAGCTGGGATAGGAGAAGTCACGCTGTATTCAGGCCCCAGCTGTTGCTGTGGTCACAGCCCCTCATGGGGAGAAAGGAGAGCCAAGGTGGTAGAAACGCTGCTCCAAACAGGCCATATGCCCTGGGAGGTGCCTGTGTGGAAGTATCAGGTCCCTGTCCCCAGATGTGCCAGCCCATAGGGCAGAGAGAAGCACAAAGCCTATGGGGTTGAGAGCTCAGGGCTGTGGCCACCTCTGTGCTAGGGAATTCCAAGACCGGCTAGATCAGGGAGCTCCCAGATCTAGCAGCATTCTTACAACCCCAAAGTATAGGAAGGCACAGGACCCCTGCACGGAGAGACCCCATCTGAGGAAGTAGTAGGACTTCTAGCATTAACTAGCTGTCTGAGCTTGAGTTACTTAGTTACCCTCTATATTTTAATCTGTCTCCCTGCTGAATGCAATCTATGGCCCGCTATGAAGAGCAAAGGGGTTAGTATATGTAAAAGGCTCAGTATAATTCCTGGCTCAGTGTCATTGCTCACTGTGTTAGCTGTTAGGACTGCTGTTGTCGGAGTCCCAGACTGATGGACAGCATTTAGCGCCCACCTTTTCTCCTCTCTCCTCTGGGTAATGTGTATGCCCTTGATTGAGTTAAGTCCAAACAAAGTCCCAAGAGAGTCATGAATGAGACCTCATCCTCTCTGCTCACCTCACAGCTAGGAAGCCAGGGAAGCCGGGAGTCCTCATGGAGAATACATGATAAATGGCTGACATGACAGTATTCACAAAGTAGATGAGAGTATAACTTGCAATGTTAGTTTGCTATGTCATTTCATATGTGTCTTTTATGATCACTTGTCCATCGGTGGTAACTTTGGCCCTAGTTTTAAGCGTTCTCTGTCTATGAGTACCTGTCCAGGGCCATAACCGGAAGGCCATCCTAAATGTGCTTAGGAGGGAACCGAAGCGTTGAAGATCATAATGCCCAGTGACTTTAGCGCACACTGCGTCTGCTCAGTTAAGTGTGGCCAGACTGCATTTGTGCTGTTATGTTAAAGCAGGATATGCTGGATTCCAGAAAATCCTCAGGTAACCCTGCAGACCTAAGCTGCCCTTCCTCAGCTTCCATCCCCATTGTGGTTCTCAGCTAGATCTCTGTCATTTATAAAATGAGCTGGAGAGATGGCTTGGTGGTTAAGAGCACTGGCTGCTCTTCCAGAGGACCTGGGTTCAGTTCCCAGCACCCACATTGCAGCTCACTCCCACCAGTAACTCCAGACCCAGGGGATCTGATGCCCTATTCTCGCCTCCAGACCAGGAGTGCATGTGATGCACAGAAATGTATGCAGGCAAAACACCCGTACAAGTTGGCTTGTTTGTTTTTAAAGTCACTTTCCTAAGAAAATCGTTTTTTCGTTTATAAGATGGGTTGGGCCCTTCCTGTCCACCCATCAGACTTCTGCTTCCCAGGCATCTCCAGGGCTGGGCCACCTGAGCAGTGCAGCTGGCTGCCGAGCCTCTTTCTGCCTTCCCCTTGGGTGACACTGTCCATGTGAGCCACGATGGAAGACAGTAACTCTCACCCTCGGTCAGTTATCCCATGGGGACTGTCCTCTCGCTGCTTCTTGTCAAGCTGTGTTGAGCTCGGCTCTCCTGGCCCTACCGAGCTGCAGGTGGCTTCCTGGCTTATCACTCAGCAAACTGAAGATGTTTATTCTTCCAACATTTGGGTGCAGTAGGCTGGGAAAGGCTCTGACACCACTGCCAAAGGGGTCACAGGCTCAAAACTAAGCCTGAAATTCGTGAAGTATACAGAAGAGGCACAATTTTAGAAGAACATTTTGTGTTGTTTTGTTGTTCACTTGTTTTGTTTATCAAGATGGGTTGTTGTTTTTGTTTTTTGTTTTGCTTTGTTTTGTTTTCTGTGTAGACATGGCTATCCTGGAACTCACTCTGTAGACCAGGTGGCCTTGAACTCAGAGATCTGCCTGCTTTTGTCTCCCAAGTGGAGGGATTAAAGGCATGCGCCACCACCATCTGGCTAGAACTATTTTTTTTTAATTCTTTTAACTTTTATTGGGCCTTTGTGGGTTCCACATCAGGTGTTCCGATCCCACTTATCTCCCCATCCGTGGCATCTGCCCCTTGCCCTTGCAACCTCCCCTACAAAGCAAAATGAAATTTAAAAGAAAAACCAAAACTAAACAAGATTGAGAGAGAGAGAGAGAGAGAGAGAGAGAGAGAGAGAGAGAGAGAGAGAGAGAGAGAGAGAGAAGAATCTTGTGGAAGCTGTAGTGTGGCCTGTTGAGTCACACGGCTTACCCTTTAGTCCATTCATCTTTTTTGTTTTTTTTGGTTTTTACGAGACAGGGTTTCTCTGTATTGTTTTGGAGGCTGTCGGTCCAGCCCAGCCTCGAACTCACAGAGATCCGCCTGCCTCTGCCTCCCGAGTGCTGGGATTAAAGGCGTGCGCCACCACCGCCCGGCTCTAGTCCATTCATCTTTACTTCCAAGTGTTCCTTGGCTCAAGGCCTCTGGCTTCTGCTACACAACTGATAGATAATGTGCTCTCACTGGGGCTCCTCTTGGACATCCTAGTCTTTTCCTGTGTCATGGAGATCCTGCTGTTTTGGATCTGTAGGTTTGTTCCCTTCACATGCTCCCTCCAACAGATCATACTGGGGTGGGCTACCTCATAGCCCTGGTTCTGGGCCTGGGTAGTGGCCGAATTGATCAGCTTGCTAGCTTCCCCTCATCATCACTACCCAGGCGAGCTCTCCCCCACTGCCTCAGCTAGGTCATCTAATGCAGCCTGCAGCAAGGAGCTGGGCCAGTTCTCCTCTCAGGCTCTTGGATCTGGCTCACCCACACTCACACCAGCTCTACTGTTTTGCCCAGTTGAGGTGCAAAGCCCTCTCTCCCGATTGCTGTAGGGGGCATGGGGGGCAGGGTGTCAGCTGTCCTGCTCTCATGCCCTCCGAGCTGGCTCACCTGTGCACCAACAACAGGGTCAGCTCTGGTGTGCTGCTCTCCTTTGTGCTGCAGCGAGTGAGGGGCAGGGCTAGTACTCTTACTCTCATGACCATGACTGTGGGCCAGCTTTCTTACGTGCCATAGGTAGCGAGGAGTGGAGGGGGAGGGTATCTTTCCCTCATGCATGCCTCTGCACGGCAGATGGGGGGCAGGCAGGATCAGCTCTGCTGTTCTCATACCCTCAGGGCCAGCTTACCTGCATCCCAGTCCCCGACCATAGGGCCAGCTCTAGTGTGCTGCCCAGACAAGACGCAGAGCCCATTCTCTTGTGTGCTGCACTGCACCCAGTGACCGTCAGGGCTGACTCTCCCACTCTCATGACCAACTCTCTCACCTGCCGCAGGTGGTAACGGATGGGGAGGTGGCAGCAGAAGAACCATGTTTAAATGCAGTTGAGTGGCACTAAGTACGGTCACATTGTTGTCCCTGGTCACCACCGTTCACCTCTAGTACATTTCAAGTGACCAAGCTGAAACTATGCTCATCAACAGTGGCTTCCCTCCCTCCCTCCCTCCCTCTTGCCCCTGGCAACTACAAGTTTATCTCTGTGGATTGGACTATTCTAGGTAACTCATGCAAATGGACTTACACTGTATCTGTCTTTTCTGTGGTATATGTTACCTAGCATAATATCATAGAAGCTCATCCATATTGTATCAGAATTTCCCTTTTTATGGCTGAATGGCGTTCACTGGCTGTGTGTGATATGCATTTTCAGATGCCTGGTAGTAGGTTTCTCCACCGATGCAATAAGCCTGATCAAGTTGAATTAATAAGACCAGGTTTAATCTGAGTGAGGCGCTCAAGCCCCCCAGAAGTGAGGCGG